AGAGAGAGAGAGAGAGAGAGAGAGAGAGAGAGAGAGAGAGAGAGAGAGAGAGAGAGAGAGAGAGAGAGAGAGAGAGATTACTTTTTCAACGCTCCAGTTCAAGCGGTGTACCGAAAAGGCAGCATGTTTTCGATACTCTATGAATCATAAGCACGACCATTTTCGCTGAATCAAGCAAAATGAATTACCAACTTCCACTCTTGAACCAGAAGTCAAGACAAGGCGCCTCCCATGGGAGCTGTCATTTCTCTCTCCCTCCTTGCTAGCGCTCGAGTCCAGAGAGACTTCCATACGCTGTACTCGGTATAATCACGGCTCAACTAACCGCACACCGCCCCTTATCCAACCGACAATGACTTGGAAAAGGAACCAACAGAAAAGATAAAAAGCAGAAAAAATAAAGGGCCAAGCATCAAATCTCACCCAGACCTCCCCACTCCAAAAGGGGGAACGACTTTCGTTATGGCTTACATTGCCCCTGGTTCCCTTGCAGCCCCAAGCTCTCCCCCCCTCCCTCCCCCCTCCCCCCTTCCCCTTCCCCTTCCCCTTCCCCTTCCCCCTGCCATGATCAATAGGGGAGAGAGAGTCCTTTGTATTTCTTTATAAGAACCATAGAACACATCACTACCTCTTCCTACTTACTCTCCCGCCCTCCTCCGCGGTGTTCCGCTATCCGCTCAGCACTTCGCCAATGTTCACTCCCCCATTCCAATTCCCATTTCCATAACTTCTGCAGCGTCTAACTGTGCGTCAAAACAGTTGCTCTCTGGAGTGCTTGCAATCACTGCCCAGCTTCCGCTCCCACCACCTTCTCCATGCATCTCCCACTCTGCAAGCTGCAAACAACATATAAAGTATTATGAACAATAATGACGGCCATTAGATGAGAGGAAAGCAGTTTTTTGGACATGATTTTTGAAAGGGAAAAGAAACAGGACCTTCGCGAATCAAGGCTAAGCGAGGAGAGATGGGCAAGATGAGCAGAGAGGATGAATGGGTTTCTCCTTGCGACTGAACCCGCGCCCCCCTTCCCCCCCCTTCGGTGCGAGGGAGGGAGGTGATGGTCATTTCGTTCCCTTCAAATGCATGCAAGTCAAACCCAGCCGATTACCTTTCTTTTTTTTTTTGAAACGATGCACAGCCCCTTGTATTCTGGGTGGTGCCTGTCCGATTGCTTATCGCCGGCAAGGATGTTTCCACAACATAGAGGAAGGGGGGAAGGGGGGGGGGGGGGGTTGCAGAGAAGGGAAAGAAAGGAAAAGGCTTAGAGTTGGTTCTGCCCTTGCAGCCCCAGTCTCCTGCCCAAACGGGCTGACGACCTAATCAAGCAGCCCTTACTCCCTCCCCCCCTCCCCCCGAACAGGGCTTTGAGATGAAAACAATTTAATAGTGCGTACCGTTATTCAAAACAAAATGATACTGCATCAAGCTGTGCATACCCACTTGAAATGGTTACCAATATCGAAGTGTGGCATGATCAGATCCAACCTGCCCTGTTCCGCTGTGGGCCGGTGGCCAGCAGGAGAGCAGGCGCCCCACCATTCCTCTGAATCTCTCTGCCTGTAACCCGGCCTGCATGTCAGTTGGTCCGTCCTGTATGCCCTGTTTGTCTGCCCACCCACGTTAACCCCCACTTGCCTGCTGGCTCACCCGTCCACCCTGATGCCCGCCCATCCGCCCATCCATCTATCCTCTCCCTCTCTCTCACTCTCTCTCTCTCGCTTGCTTCCCTGTTTCTGTCAGGTCACTACTTCAATGCCAGTGAGCTATGTAAAAACCTGTTCGCTTGTGTCCGCGCACAGGAGAACAAAACAAAGAGACACACTTTCCAGTCTCAAGTGGGAGGGGGGAGGTGACGGGGTCTCAACCTCCTTACTCACTACAGGCCTCCACTCTTGCTCCTCACTTCGTTTCTCACAGTCTCTCCATCTCGGTATCAGATTCCAAACTTGAGAAGAGAAGAAAATACATGCCCTTGACCCCACTTTATCCATCATTGCTTCGTGCCTTCCCATGCCTTCGCCCTTGGTGTGCACGTGTCCTAGGACATTTGTCACCATGCTTAACCCACTCATCCCCCTCATTTTGACTGCTCTTTATCCATCATCTTTTTTTTTTTTTAATAACAAAAAGTTCAAAAACCATTCGTTAGGAGTTTCAGAAGAGAGAATTTTCATTTATCTTATCCATTCAAAGTGCAAGGTTGACCACTCCGGTCAACCTTTGTGGGGTTGAGTGGTAAGCGCGCGCTGCACACAAACCGGTCCGCTACCGCTATATACGCGCACTTGCACTTGCGTAATCCAGTCTGTTCTAGAGGTACTCGTCCAGTTCCAAGTAAGATACCTGCTGAGGCATAGAGGGGAACGAGAAGCAGAAGGGGTAGAGGGAAATGGGGACAAGAAAGAAAGGAAAAAACAGACGTGCATAAGTCCTCTGAGTCTACCACAGAAGCCCTCTGAGCCCGTGACAGAGCCCTCTGAGCCCGTGGCAGAAGCCCTCTGAGACCGTGAAAGAAGCCCTCTGAGACTGTCCGTGAACGCTCCACGGCTCCGGCCCTACATCACGGGATCCCGGTGACAGTAGGAGTGCCGCTACTTGAAGCACACTAGACTACAAGATGTTTCTTGAAGTGCTCGGAGACGGCACATGCGTGATGTCGTGTTTGCTATACACAACTCCACAGATAAAGCATGACTGTGCCAGACTGTTTCGTCGGCCTTTCACCGACTCGTCAGGAGGTTGAATCCCGACAGTCTGCCCAGGATGCATTTGACTGATGGATAAGAGGAGTCACCACGTCGCCCAGAGTTAGTGATACCCCTGAGAAAAGTGGTGTACAGCATGTGTGCGTGTGTTGTGTGCTGTAAACAATTACCACAGCGACCCCTTTTCCAACCAGATGCACAGATATCATAACTGGAACAGACTTCCCATGTGGATATATGAAACCACCAGTACTTGGCCCATACATCTGCCGCGGGCCCTTCACGGTAACCGGCTGGCACCAACCCAAAGAGAGTTGCACCCATTCGTTGTCTTTTCGGCATGCAGTGCATCTCCACCATTGGAGAAAAGTGCCTCGGAAGTACTGGTGGTTTAAAATCATTGTGATATGGTCATTTCAGTGCTGCACGGCGAGTCACGTTTGTGCAGTTCGAGCGTTGGACGGCGTGGACGACCACACAGCCTACCTGTTTGCATTTCGACACGTCTATGCAGTTCGAGCGCTGGACGTCGTGGACGACCACACAGTCTACCTGTTTGCATTTCGACACGCTTGCACCAGGGTGGAGAGAGAGAGAGAGAGAGAGAGAGAGAGAGAGAGAGAGAGAGAGAGAGAGAGAGAGAGAGATTTTGTCTGTGTTCTGAGCAATGGTCGTTCGTATGATTCGTATGCACTTCGAAGTTCTGCACGGGGAGCAGGAGGGGAGAGAAGGACAGGAAGGGAGTGGAGAAGGAGAAGAATGCGAGAAGGGAGGAGAGAGAAAGGAGAGGAAAAGGGACCTTCACAGCGGACTGCCAAGATATGAGGGATAAGACAGTGGCCACTTACGGCTTGGGTTGTTCTAAAGAATCACCACAGTAACCCAAGATCACAGTTAAAAGGTGAAAGGATCTTACCATGTGATATGATTATGATGTTCTAGTGAATGGTCGTTTCACTCTTGCATTTCCAGCATACTCGCAATGCAAGTTTCTTCTACTCCCTTAGTGATGCTCATTTGCATGCATTTGGCGGTTCTGCTCAGATAACAGGAGAAGGAAAAGGAATGAATGGAGGAGCAGGTGTTGCCTATGGTGAGCGGTCAACGCCAAAGACCAGTTTGGGTGTGGGGCTGTGGAAGCACCACATCCAATCCTCCCAATTACTGTCACTGTCTTCGAATGGCATGGGCGTTCGGGACGGAATGCGGATGGAGAGCTGTCTACAGATATCATAAGCAACACAAGCCTCCACACGCTAGCAACACAGAGGCACAGAGATTGCAGTTATATAGGCAATGTAATTCCAAGCCCTTCTCTGGAGAGAGACATGCCACGAGAAGGTATCGTGGATGACTACAAGGGGAACCATCATAAAAGACCTGGGAACAAAGACTTGTACAGACCGTACCGTCATAGTTCTCACGACACAGAGAGTGCTTCTCATATGTTAACCGAACAGCAGCTCGGTCGTATCGCAACCTGCTATTGACATAGTCTGTCCACTTCGGCTTAGTCTCAGGCTTGTGCTATCGACATAGTCTGTGCTTGTGCTTGTGCTTGTGGTTGTGCTATTGACATAGTCTGTCTGCTTCGGCTTTATTCTCAGGAACATGAGCAGACAGATTCTCAGACTTGTGCTTGTGCTTGTGCTATTAAAATAGCCTGTCCGCTTCAGCTGTTGCGAAATCTGATCTGCCACTCCTTGCAGAAAACTCTCAGGCTTGTGCTTGTGCTATCGACATAGTCTGTCCACTTCGGCTCTTGCAAAACCTGATCTGCCAGTGCTTGCCCTGGGTGTGATACGCTTTCAGCACAGTGCTGCAGGTCGTTCATGAGCCAGTCTGTTTTCCATCTCAGACTGGCTGCTGTACCCGTCCTGCGGCCATCGAGGGTGGACGGAATTCCATCATAGGCGTTAATGCAGGCAGCAGGAGGTTCTACAACAGATGCAACCGGGGGGAATCTAGCATTGCATGTTGGACATGGGCGAAGAGGGTGGGGATGGGTGGTGACATCAGGGATAGTCCATGTGGAAGAGCATTGCATGTTGGACATGCACGAAGAGGGTGGGGACGGGTGGTGACATCAGGGATAGTCCATGTGGAAGAGACACATACTTCTCTGAAAGCTTCCTGGAAACACGGGCAACAGGTAGCACGTGGTTGGGATGCCAAAGGGAAAGTGGACTCACCCTCGCAGTCATTTAAGCAAGGCATTCCACGGATGTGGTGGCATATCAGGCGGCTAACAAACGGGCGGGAGGACGGATGCAAGACAAAGAGGGAGCACTATTCGCATGGAATGATGGAAGTGAATTTGTAACCATATTTAACCAGAGTGGAATGTGTAAAACCATATTTAACCAGGGTGGAATGAATAACCATGTTCAGACAGAGTTGAATGTGTAACCATGCTTAACCAGAGTCGAATGTATAAAGTTATCAACCATGTATGACCGGAGTCAAATGTGTAAGCAGAACTGAATACGTATTGATGAGCAACCTGATGACATGTACCCATGTAGTAGGTTATAAATGAATATGAGGTTATACATGAAGGAAAGGTAACCTACACGCTTGTCCTTTAGGTAGAAGACGATAACTCTCTCAGACATCGCCATTGCTCGCACTGGTGCAACCTGCACGTATGAACACCGCAACGTGAAAGCATTGAGAAATCAGGAGTCGGCCGGCAGCTTAAAGGCCAGAAATGTGATCCAGAGGGGAAACAAAAAAACAGAAACTCAGTAACAACAACAAAGAAAAAACAACACCAAACATCATCAGCATCAGCATCAGCATCAGCATCAGCATCACCATCACCATCACCATCACCATCACCATCAGTAACGCCACCACCACCACCATCAACAACAAAGCAACAACTACAAGGATGACAATGACCACAACCAAGACCCGACCACGACAACGACAACAACAACAACAACGACAACAACAACAACAACAACAACAACAACAACAACAACAACAACGACCACCACCACCACCACCACCACCAGCAGCACCACCACAACAACCACACCCACAACTACCACAACTCCCACAACAACCACAACAACCACCACAACCATCGCAATCATCACAACCATCACCGTCGCCACAACCATCACCACCGCCACAATCAGCACAACCATCACCATCGCCACAACCACAACCACCACCACCGCCACAACCACAACACCACAACACCACAACACCACAACCACCACAA